CGGCCGCAGCACCAGCCAGCGACTCCCCGTGCCTCATGGTCTCACCGGACAGAGCGCCCATTGTTCATCAGGTGTTAACTTCAGAGAAACACCTCGAAACGTTAGGCCAAATTTCTGCGATACACACGGCTCGCTTGTTTGGCCGTCGAGGAACAATGCCGTCATCTCGGTGACCTTGCGTACGAGCTGTGACTCCCTGTTGCATTTCTGAATGGATTTCCCTCGGGCTGAGGCCCCAGGGAGTCTCGTCGAGGGACCGCGGGGGGCCTCGGCGCTCTCCCGTCCTCCCCCGCACCGGGTGGATCTTGGCTGCACTTCACCTCGCTAGCGGCATAGCCTGCATCTGCTTTCATCTGTGTAATGTGCAACCAACAGGTTAAAGATTCCGGGTTTTTGATTACAAATCCAGTCTCAAAAAACAAACAGCAAAACCAAAAGTCAACTCAGCTGTAGTACTTGGATGGAAATGATCAAATCCCAAAGCAGACCTGGCAGGTTCTAGTTTACTACAGCCCCTTTTGAAGTCCCCATTTGAATTCTGGGCTGAGAAAAGGGAGAGTCATCGTCTTCTCAAAACAGCACCTTAGAGCTTAACGAAAGGCCGGGAAACGGAGCAGACAGCATCCCCCCATACATACATTTGAGCTGATCATGCAAAACAAAGTCACGAAAAATCACCGTAAGAAGAGACGTCCTAGGAAGAAATCCGGTGTTGCTAATCCCCGGCGCTGCCTGTCCAGGAAGAGGGCTGCTCTCCTCCCTTAGACGCGCCGGTCCCTCGGTGCAGGAAGAAGTCCCACTCTCACTTGAACAGTGCCAAGTCAGGGGACTCCTCTGCTGCCCGGGCCCGCTGGAGAGGAGGCAGATCGCGCGGAGGTCAGTATGTGCTGATGCCCCCTCCTACGGAGCCTTAGAATATCTAAGATCGATATGTACGGACAAAGGGGCAGGTATAATATCACATTAAAATTAAAACACGTGGCCATTTACTTTTCAGACTCTTCACACAGATTCCCTCCTCCTCCCTCTTTGCAGGAGCAGGAGTTTCCTAGGACAGAGAAGGTTTGTGGTTTCCCAATGGGATGAGAAAAGTTATGTGGCAAAGGTACTCTACATTCCCCAGACGTCACCCAATTCATAGCTGTAACCAGACAAAACCCCACGGAACCCAGAGAGCTCAAGTCCATCCCTTGAGCTAGTCGGTATCTAGCAGCAGTTCTGACCTGTCAGCCCCTTCCAGCCCTGGCTGCCCCCAGCGAGGCGACCCCTCGTCCCTGTGAGGGCAGGCCTGCCGGGCAGCCCTCGGCGGGAGCAGCACCAGTCCGGCGGCGAATGTCAAACTTGGAGTCCCGGCACTTCTGGCATATGTAGACCTCCGGGACGTTCGACTTGCGGATTTTGGCGCAGGAGAGGTGGATCCAGGTGTGGCACTCGTTACACTCGATCATCGGCCGCCCGGCGAAAGGCTTCATGCAGAAGCAGGTGACCAGGTCCCACGAGTCGTCATCTGCAAAGAGAGACAGCACAGCTACATTTTACCCGCCAACACCTCTTGCCTGCGCCGGCAGTTTACTCTCCTCTCACACTAAATTAACTGCCTGGGTTTCACACACGGGTACTTCGCTGATTTTTCCAGGTCTTAAGAGAAACTAGTCTCACGCGGGCAGAGACTCTCATCAGTACAAGAGAAGCCGTAATCTGGAGAGGAGAACCGGCTGCTTCTATAACGCGGACGCTTTTCACTCGGTTTATTGCAAAAGCAGCCAACCAACGCCTCCCTTCCCTCCGAAAACCCAAACGCTGCTTAGTTGTGTCCAGGCAGCGCGCCTTGGCGTCGTCCTCATGCTACATGCAAAGCACCGAGGAGATGGGCAGCTGCAGCCCGCTTCCACCCGGCCAGCCAGGCCACCTACCCGAATCCACCATGATGTCCTCGTCGTCCCCGGTGCCGTCCTCGTCCCGAAAGACCACCTGCTTGCCCTGCCGGATGACCGTTCGCTTGCCCACGCTCTGGATCTCCACCGTCTGCTCAGCTGCCCCGGCAGGGTAGGAGACGCTGGACGGCGTGTCAGAGTCCCACGCCGAGCAGTGCTCGGCCGCAGACGGAGGGTCGCCCTCAGACGAGGGGCTCATTGGCGTCTCTGCGTAAGAGTCCTCCGCCTCCAGCTCCAGCAGCTTCTCCTCGTAGTCCTCCTCCGCAGACACCTCCGTTTCCCTCCTCTTCAGCTTTTTCTTCTTCCTGATCTTATCGATTTGCTTTCGCTCCGGCAGGAAGTTGCCGGGTTTTGCCCGCTGGAACAGGGAACCGTACGGTTTCGCTCGCTTAAGCTGACTGAAGTTCTTCCTGTTCTTGGTGGGCAGGGAGACGGCGGAGGGGATGTCATTGAACCGCGGGTCCCAGCTATCGCTGTCAATCGTGCCCCCGGTGCTGTTGGGGGGACTGGGGCTGTTCCTCAGCGGCGCTTCCTGGAAAACGTCGGATAAAAGCGTTAACTTAGAGCAGGGTCACG